CTGAGAGATCAGTGATGGCATCACTTAGAAAGGCTGGAACGTTGCACTGCACTTCAATTCTTTCATTTCATCCCTGACATCGTGCTACCTGCAAATCTGTGGCACATATTCAGGCTGGTGGCTGTAAATGTTTCGTACAGAGAGGTTGCCCTGTCATGCCTTCAAGTGCTTTCTGACTCCGGGGACATCCTTTCGTACCAAACACAGTGAGTCTAACAAAGCCTGTTAACATATACACACATACAGCCACATGTGCCCACACACAAAGAAACACACTCACCTGTGCAAACATTTGCACACAGATAGCTGTGAAGCTGTGAGGTTGATAGGTACTCTCAATCTGCCTCTGCAGTGTTTCACACTTTGTTCTGTTCTCATGTACACTATTTTCTCCATCCACCTTTCCACTTAGTCACAGTGCACTTTTCACTTTGCTTTTCTGTTCCCATTATTTCTCACCCTTTCCTTCGTCTTCCATCTTTTCCAGTCCTTCCCTCTCATCTCCATTCTCCTCATATCCTCCATATATCTCCTCCTACTCCTCGTCAACTTCAAGGCTCGTACTGACTCAGTATTCTGCAGGTACGGTGTTTTTTGTGGCAGTCTGAGAAACTATTGGCACAAGAAGAGAAAAGGTGAAATACACTGTAACTGAAAGAAAGCACCCGAGACTGATTACATCCCTCCAAATCGAAAGCACGGACAGTTATTTAGTGTTCTTTTTAAGGCCATCCACATTTCAAACCCTCGGGGAATTTGTACTTCACACAAAGAAGTGAAGTTTCAACTAAACCGACACCGACTGTTAAACAAACTGGAGGAAAAGTTTTTAAAAACGTTAATGCCAGTGTAACAGATTTATTTTAATAGTGTGTATGGTGTCTGCAGATGGGGACAGAGCAAGAAAGCGATGGGCTGAAAACGTAGTATCTCAAAGTTCTCGGCAAACCGATTTCCTGACCCTTCTGAGGAATGATATTTGGGGCTTGGCGGCCTTTATTTCAGCGGGTACACTTTGTTCCCAGAGGGATGGATGTGCTCCATTCATGCCAGCTTCACCTTCACCGTCCTGGACCTTGTCATGGGATTGTTGTTGCGCTTACATAATCTTCTGGCAGTACGATGCATTTTCACCACTAAATACCTCCCATCTCACCGGGGCGTTACACGCACACGAGGATGGACATATGGATGCATACGTACACACAGGCACGCACACTCCTGCTCAAACCTCTCTCTGTACTTGCGACTTACCCGCATCAGCCTTTATACTTGCTCAGGCACACACACACACACATTGTATCCCAGCACTCTGGATTAGGGGTACAGATTAAAGATTACGGCCAGCACTGGGATTACACAGTACTTTCCTGCCCCTCCTCCATCACAGGACAGACCCACCTCTGGCCCTATCATCTACACTGGTGATGTCATGCACACAAACAGAAGAGAGAGGATTTTATGTCACTGATATTCATTCCTTCATCCTAAATTAGCACCCACAAAATGCCAAATCTGCTAAGGATTGTCTTTCTCTTCTGTTATCTGCCTATCCCTCTCTCTCTCCCTCTCTGTTACACAATAAACAATGAAGTCATCTTTACATTACTGGCTCTCAATGCAATTACTCACATTAATCAAAGCTCCTTCTCAAATGTCCCATTCCCTCCCTATTGCATCATTTCCTAACTCAATTGAAGAGACTCGTCGATAGAAACAATAGAAATTATATGACAAATGGGTTCGATATTACGGCTCAGGTAACAGTGATGGAGGAGAAGCACCTTGAGGATGGATGAGTGAAGTTTCCAGGGAATCTGTCTCCTACAGTAGATGGTGTGCTTAAAAGATGTGGGTGAGGACTGCCTGAGGACGGTGGTGAGATGGTATATCGATTGCTGATTCACTATCTAGATCCTTCATATTCTACCTGGGCGTTTGGAACCTCCTGTGGGGTCACGAGCTATTTTAAGGTAGACATGATAAGAAGATTTTATATATAAATATACAGTATTACATACAGTATGTGCAGTGTTAACAGTATGAGCTACTATCAGGTGAAAAGACCAGTATTATATACAGTATATGCGAGGCTAGCAGCAGGAGTTACAATGAGATAAAAAGGAAGTATTAAAAGTCACTCTGTGTCATATTGAGACTGACAGACTGTGAACAGAAGAAATGATGTCATCAAACTCTAGCGGTGTCAGTGTTACTCGGTAGTCCAGCGATTGGTGAAGAAACCAGCTGCTTCAGGGATGCAGGGACGCTGCCCTTTAGAAATAAAGTTTAACTTGAACTTGACAGACGTTGCACTGAATCTGCAGACTTTAGCAGAGTAAAGAGAAGCTTAGTGGGTAGCTTAGTGTCTGTTGACAAGGCTGGCATAACCCAGGCTGCCAGAAGCATCGGCATTCACGGTTGTATCTGTGGCGCTCCATCATGCTGTGTATTTTAAAGACTAATAGTAATGACGCTCCTTCAGTCTCCTCTGACTTCAACAACTGGCAAGCTTTCACAGTGTTTCATCAGTAACTCTGTTCCTCTTTAACACGCTTGTTTTTGCCTCGCCGTTTCCTTTTATCTGTCTGTCACCTGAAGGTATCGTCAAAATAATTTATTTGACCCCGATAGTGACGTGACTCAAAGACCTTTCTCTTCATTTTTCATTTTTGTTTCTTTTCAGGTGAATGCCGTCATGCCATTTGGGTGCCTTGCCCTGCGAGATGGGCGAACGTACGACACGATATCTGATGTCACAGACAAGTATGAGTTCGGACAAGTCCTGCGAGCGTAAGTGCCATAAAGCTTTAAGCATGGACTTCTTTCCCTCCTCTCCATTGTAAACATTTCACAGGCACAAGGTTTTTATTCACCTCATTAGTTATTTTCTGAAGTGAACAGTTCTCACCACAGACTTGGTTTGGCATATCAGAAGGTTTCACTGCAGGAATGACAGAAGGTAACAGGCCTGTGTGTAACAGACAAATGTGACAAATTTGCCAATTGTCTCAATATTTTTGATTGTAAAAGTTGTTCGAAGTTTGTTGTTTATTCACTGGATCTATTATTTATTCAAAAAATATTCAGACATATCGCGTAAGACCTCTGAAAATCAGTTTGCTGCTCGACTGGCTGAAAACAGAGCATTTTCTTCTTCGAGAAACACGAACTCACACACACACGCAGGCATGCGAACCATACACACAAATACCAATCAGTGTAAAAGGCCATATGGCAACATCAGCATCTGGCCTCAGAGATTTCTGCTCATCTTTTATATAACACACACACGCGTGCACGTACTCACACACAAACTTAAAAACACATTAAGTCAGAATTAAGTGCAAAGCTTTTGCTGTAGGCCTGTACATGTGCTTCTTAAAATTGTGTTTATCGCTTTTTCTTTTTCATTCTCATTGTGAAACATTGCAGTTTCATTTTCCATCACGAAGCTTCCCTGAATGCCCCGAAGGCTCAAAGCCTAATGCCGCCCAGCTGATGGTGGCTGTAAGACCCATTTCAAGCCTTCTATCCAAAGCTTCACCTCCTAATTAAATTATTTCACTGTGTTTCACCGAAGCAGCCAGTGTACTCTTTGTGCCCCTAATTTGAATATTATTCCATCTCTCCTGGACCGCGCTCTCATGCAAAAAATATCAGAAACTTTCATCCTTCTTCCAGCATTTGCTCTTTCTGCTGTTCTCAGTCTGTCTGTCTTTCTGTCCTTTTTCTTATCGCGTAGGAAGGAGTTCTGCGAGCTGTGCCTGGCAAAGGACAGACAAACAGACAAGGTGTTTGTCTGCAAGAAATTCCTCAAGAAAGATGGCAGGAAAGTCCGCAAGGCTGCCAAGAACGAAATCATGATTCTGAAACTGTACGCAATCAGTTTGTGAACAGATGGATGTATGATTGAGCAACGGAGAAAGGCGGAGAGGAGGAGAAGGAGAGAATGTTTGGAAAGTGAAATAAATTGTGCAGTAATTCTGGTTGATATGCTGAGATGTGAATTATGCTTTTTACTTTCTTTGAGCTATTCAGTCACCTGACAGACTCCTTACGTTTGCACGTAGCGTCCTGCAGTCTGTGACTTCTTCTGCCTCTTCCAGGGTAAACCATCCAAACATCCTTCAGCTGATAGACACGTTTGAGACTCGGAAGGAGTATTTCATCATCCAGGAGCTGTGAGCATTTCTTTGAACTTTTCCACCGATTGTCTTTCTCGCGTTAACATCATTGTCAGTATCTGTTTGAGTGTCGTTTTTTATGCGTGTGCCGTAACACAAATCCAGCAGCTCGAGGGTAGGAGTTGAGTCTATCCTCTTATTACTGTGTGCTCTGTTGTTCCCCTCAGACACAGGGGAAGGTGTTAGATTTGATGAGATATTTGCTCTTAGTAACACTCAACATTACTCAGAGCTCCTGAAGCACTGCTCTGCTACAAGACAGTCTCTGTGGAGAGCTTGGGATCGATACACAGGAACTCACCGAATCCACATCACTTGTGACTTGCGCATTTTGATATTTGCAGCTTTATTTGAAAGCAATAATAATGATTGGAGCAGTGGACACATTATTTATGCCGTGTTACTGAGACAGAGAAAGACAAACTGCACTGTACATCGCGCTATTTATGTGTAGCTCACACATTAGCCCAGGCACCAGACCTCCTGCTGGAAGCATTACATGATAATCATTGTCATCATTCATCTCAAAATTTAACTAAGTATGTTAGAGTAATGACTAATAGGATCGTTTTTAGATGCTCAGCAGTGCTGGCTCCAGCCTGGTAGAGAAGGTTGTTTATCCTCAGTAAATAAAAGGAAACTGCGAAAAGACTTAAAGTGGTTTACAGTGTTTCAAAATAGCATTTTACGTGTGTGTGTGTGTGTGTGTGTGTGTGTGTGTGTGTGCACGCAGTGCCACAGGAGGAGATGTTTTTGACTGGATTCTGGACCAGGGGAACTACACAGAGAGAGATGCTTCCAATGTCATCAGACAAGTCCTGGAGGCTGTGGCATACTTACACTCCCTCAACATAGTTCACAGGAACCTGAAGGTACATGCTGTGTGTGTGTGTGTGTGTGTGTGTGTGTGTGTGTGTGTGTGTGTGTAGTGAGTGCCACTACCATAAAAAGATAAAAATAGATTAGTGACTAACTAACTTTGTCGAGTGAGCGCCGTCACACTCCAGAAAGCAATATTAAGTATTTAGTCAGCACAGAATCTTTGGAGACACATAAAAGCGTACTTCTGCCATCCCGGTAATGACTGAACATTTGATAACATTTTTACCACGGGAGTAAACACTGTCTTTATGGCTCGAAACAATCTCTAGTGGCAGACACACATGCAGAGAGATTCATATCTTTAGCGGACATCATTAGGAATGAGCTACAGCATCTCGTGGCTTCAGACTCCCTCTACTGGTAAAAGATGACATTTTATTTTGCTTAAACCCAGGGCCAGAAATCAGATTATAAACCAATCAAACCAAATCAAAATCGAATAAAAATGAAATTGAAATAAATGCAGGACTAGAAATTACTTCTTACAGGGAAACCAATATGCTTACTTTACTTGTGTTAGTGTGTTTGGGTTTGGCTTCATTATTTATTTATTAACCTTTATTTAACCAGGAAGATCCCATTGAGATTAAAAACCTCTTTTTCAAGGGAGACCTGGCCGAGATAGGCAGCAGCAGATGTCTCACAGTTACAGAGATTACTCAAACACAGGCAGCAACAACACACATGCAACAATAAGTGAAAGAATACAAATAAAATAAAATAAAATTCAATAAAATTCAAATAAAAATAAAAAAGTCAGTTAAAATGACAATCAATCTAATTGAAACAGTTGCATGTTATGGACTTGGCCTCAAGGATTCGTAGCTTAGATTTAAAAGCACTTAATGAAATGAATTCATCAGGGTCCAGGAACAACATGATCATTTGTATTCCAGCTACATTGCTAAATCTGCTGGTTCATTACGTCTTAATTTTGCTTGTCTTGCTAACAGGTTGACTTATCAGTGTCATTGTTCTGATTTAAGCATGCCTGATGTGAAAAAAACTAAATTGCCTTTTAATCTGGCCTAATCCCTCTAATGTGATCATAACACAAACATTCAAGTGAATAGAGCAGCGTTGCTGTGAACTTTTCTTTTATCTAAGCTTCTAGAGAAAGTCTTTTCATCTTAGTTAATGTCTTTGTGATGACTGCTCAGTGCTAGTGCTGTTAGCTACATTTGGCAGAGTCAACTACTTTATTTTGCTGGACCATCTTGAAACCTAGATTGGGATTAAGGGATCGGCTTTACGTTGTTTTCATTCTTACTTATTTAACAAAACTGTGGCCAAAGCTAATACTTGATCCTGTGCAGACCATTTTAATTAGTGTCCCTCATGGCTCAACACTAGGACCACGTTTGTCTTTTATATGCATGCTGCCTCTGAGACAGATCCCTCACAGCCCCATCACAGCTATTTAGATGACACACGGTTATTTGTGTCTTTGCAGTCAAAGGTCTACACACCTCTATAAGTGACATGAAATGACGATTACTCTTGTACTGATGATTTGCACTGGAAGGCTGCCAGTTTTCCCTTGATTAGCCCACTAATGACTTTTAAGTAAATGGCCTTGAGGACGTATTAGCCCCTTATGTGTTGTTATTACCTTACTGGAACTGTTTTTTGACATATCAGGATAACATTTAATGCTACAGTTCCTACAAAATAAAAGTTAAGTAGATTAAAATCATCACCTTTTGGATTGTTAAGAATTTTCACCACGGTTTTGTCCAAAGGTCTTTTAGTTGTGAGATGTTTGAGGGCTCTCTTGCATGCGCTGCATGTTTCACATCCCTCCCATCTGAATAGATTTTTCTCCTGAAAAGCTTTCTTTGCTCTACACAAACACATTGTTCCTAAAGGCATCTATCTTCACTGGCAAACTAGTTTTGCTCCAGTTCTCATTTTCGACAGGAGAGATTTGTTTTCTGAGCTGCTGCTGTTACCTGCAGTCATAGTTTCTTGCATGCATGAAGTTTTGTAGTCTCACCTCTTTGAACTTGAATATACTGGAGTTTATGCAGCTGTTAAATTATTTTTAGATCCATTTTCGCAGAAATGTGTGAGCCAACAGTTTTCATGAGACTCACTAAATTTATTACCTCTTTGTGCAAAAAGTACATAAATGTACATTTACCATCGTTCATTGTAAGTTATTGTTCCTGTTAAGTCCAATAGTTTGGAGCATAAAGACTGACAGTTCCTTGGATTTGTACAAGTACAAGAGTTGTTTTGACAAATTTGATGGACGTTCACTTGGTCCTGATCTGAGCTCATCTGTTAAAATACCCTCCATCCGATGTTTAAGCCAGTAGCCCGTTTCCTTGACTCCACGTTGTCGTTTCGTACGTGTGAAATTGTGTAGGAATGCTATTTCGTTTCTCATTCTCTTTAGCTGGAAAACCTGATGTACTACACAGAAAACAACCATAACAAAGTAGTTTTGCGAGATTTCTACCTGTCCAGATTTGAGAACGGACCAATCACGGAGCCATGTGGAACACCTGAATACCTGGGTAAGTAACTCTGGACATCACTTTACAGTGTGTGGCTTTGTTTTGGAACCAAATTTGCGTTTCAGTTTTTCTCCATCTATCATCCTGTTTTGTTTTCTTTGTTTTCTTCTGTTGTGTAAATATGACTGAGGACTTGTGCTCGTGAGCATTCAGAGTCCAACCCCAACAACCAGCCAGTACACCGACAGAAAACATGAGCAGAATTGCAAACAATCAAACTCTTCTATTCTATTCATCTCATTTCATGTGCGCCGTCTCTCCTCTCTGTGTCACTGAGATTTATGTGAGGGCAGCTTGAAGTACACGACTGGGCCTTGGCCTGATTCTCTCAACTGAAATGCCAGGACAGTTATTCATAATGCTGAACTGAGTAATTACACTAATAAATAAGGGAAGCGAATAGTGGCCCTGGTGGGAAAATGATGCAAAAAAATAAAAAGAGGGAATTAAAACTGGAGATAGCCTTCGGAGGTAAGTTGCCGTGCAGCTCAGAGATATAAATATGGTGTGAAGGCTTGTAAATAAAATCCTTGGACATTTCTCTGCCTCTGACACACATTCTGTATCTGCTTCATTCATTGCTGTTTCTCAGCTCCTGAAGTGGTGGCTCGTCACCGATATGGCCGTCCTGTGGACTGCTGGGCTGTGGGTGTCATCATGTTCATACTGTGAGTCTCACTGCTCATTACAAACACTG